AAGAGAAAAGAATGGCAGAGGAGAGGAGGATGGGCTGGAGAGAGGAGAGACTGACTTCAGAGGCAGCAGCAGGCATGTTTGGCTCAGTTTATCTTTACTTTCCCGTCTCTCCCGTTGCCTCTCTCACGGCTGGAGCGCGGGCTAGCGGATTTGCAGCCCGCACTCCCTGCAGATTTTGTGTGTGTAGGTGTGTGTGTGTTTGTGTGTGTGAGTCTGGAGGGGAAGGACAAGAAGTTCCTTCGTTAACTCCCCTCCCTCAAAGAAAGTGATGAACACACAAAGGCCCATGCACCCCCTAACAGGCGTCTGCTGATCCAGCGAGGTTTGTGGTAGTGCTGATGAAGCCAATGACAATGACTATGATGGCGATGATAGCAGAGCTGCTCCGCTCGCTCAAACCGCTGTAGATTCACTGATTCAACAGTTTTTTGTTTTTTTTTTTGCTCAGCTTCAAGCCTGGTCACTTCATTCCGGCTTCCGACTGATATCCCCTGGTGATGATAAGACTTACACTTGCTCCCAACACAGTGCACAGATAAGATACTTTCAGAGGAGGTTGGTAAAGCAAAAAGCCAAAGAAGACTAGACCGAGTTGGGCAGAGCTCTTACACCTTTCCTTGACAAAAGGTAACACTAAGAAAAAAGGTAATGCTGCAGAAACCTCTCTCAGCACTAACCTACACTTTACAGTTTTCAATATATAGCAGTAGGCTACCAGTTCCTGATAATGTACCACTGTAAAAGGACAAAATTGTAATATATAGGTTTATTAATACTATTTCATTATAAATCTGTTTAAAAACATTATTAAGAACACCTTTGGGGTTGCCAGGTGGTGAATAATCCCTCTGACTAGTTGACCATCTGACCACTTACTTTATGGAAAAGAGTAGCAATCTAGACCTAAGTCCAAATGAACGCTAAGCTTGTTCAACATTAACTAAAAGCAACTTGATAAGGTGATAATAGTGTATGTCAGTCTTTGGTTTTTAGTTTTTTCTGCAAATGTTCATAAAAATACAATGCTTTTAAAGAGCTGGTATTATGGCACCTTTTGTCAATTTGTAGAAATACTGAATGTACTTAAAACCTTTCTGTGGCATTTTATTCACCCAAAATTGTTCAGATTTCGCTAAATATATCTATACAAACTGCCCAGATTCCCCACTGGAGTAGTTTCAAAACCACTTGCTCTATAAGCAGGAGATTCCAAATTTTAAATAAAGTAAAAAAAAAATTGATTCAGCTTGATTTTTTTTTACGCTGGTAGAATTATTACATTACTATTAAATCAGCTACCAACTTGATGCATTAAAACCCTTTATAAATGACTTAGACTTGATGGCTTAAGTGTGAAACTCATAGGCCATTAGTTAGAACCTATAAATCCTTTACACGTTTAACTTTATAAATATTGGCAACAGAATTTTCATTTGTATAAATATCTGATATCTTAAAATTGTTTAGCCTACATGCTATTCCTGTGCACGTACAGTATATAAGATACCCAGGTGTCTTTCTTGCAGAAAATAGGCTCTGTGACAAACAATAGTTTATAAACTTACATGCTTTGTTCTGCAAGATAACCTTAACAAGTGAACACCACTTTTGTGATTTTTGAAGCCCAACTATGATCATCTGTGCCTTGACTTCAACGTCACCAACACAGCTTTCAACTTGTAATATGATTTTGCCCACTTACCTACTGTGTTCTACAAAACCCTTTTCACTTAGCATGACCTGATCTAGCTAGTGATCATGGTTGCATCAGTTATTTAGAATAATTTGCAAGTGTGCATGTTTAAAAAATAACAAGGTTGTAAAGGCAGGCTAGTGAGTCGATGAGTCTGTGTTCAGTGTGATGACATTTAATATCCCAGACAGCCTCTGTAGTCTCATTTGGCCACTTGTTAGCAACTGCCTTTTTTAAAACAAATAAAATTATTTAAAATCATGATTATTTACTGATGTATTTTATCTCACAGAACCAAATGTGAAAATGTGCTAACCTTGCGTCGACCACAGACCTTATTTCAGGTGTCTAACCAAAAACCTATTTAAAAAATCCACTGGCTTCGGGGCAAAGAATCAAAGTGCAAAACTGCTAAGGACTCACTACTACAGAACTTCCTGTGATTAAACCAGTAACAATGATAACTACTGGCGAAAAAACATGACAACTATAAATCATATAAAAATCGGGGTTTGATGGGGTGGCCTAGAGGTTATGATGCCAACCTGTGTACAGTATGCACTGTAGTTCCCCATCTCTCTCCTCTCATTTAGGATCTCAACCTCACCTACCCAATAGAAGTATAAAATGTCCAAAAATATATTTAAAAAGGGGGCTTATTGACATGAAATGTAATGTTAAATGTTCAAAACTGGGCGAGGATCATCCAGTTGATCATTTCTGAATATGGACCAGGGAACTTTACAGCCATTTTGTTGAGCTGGTGTGTTCCAGTTGTTCCCAGATAGAAGCTGAGACTCCCTGGGTGCTGTCACTGTTAAACTACCCAGATACGCACTGGGATGCCTCTGCAGCCTCTGTCAGGCATAACACAAACCAGACTCACATCATACCACATCACATGTAAAGCACCGTGCTACATACAGAGACAGGCCATTTTTACATTACCCCTGTTTGTGTCTGAAAGCACAGCACAAGTTTCTAGTTTGATTTTTGAACGGCCATTGGTTTTAATTGAATACAAAGGCAAACATTAGGCGACCTCTGAAATCTTGTTACTTTGTATATTTAAAACATTGCTATTTAGAAGTTGTCTCAAATTTCGGATGTTCTCAGAGCATCCCTGAATTCACCAGAAAGGTGAAATGTATTCATGGAGTAGGGAAATCAATTGAAAAACTTATGGCATGCTTTGGAAAATTGTCACAGTCAAAACAGCTAAAACTGACCTTGTTGCACCCTGAGATTCTGAAAACTTTAAAGATTCCTTCTCTTTTCTAGGTATACTTAACAACTTTCAGCATTGCATCCAGAGTGAGTAAATGTAGCCTGGCACTGCCTTCAACCTTATTAATAGATTGTCACAGAGGAACCCAGTTACAGAAACCAGGCCCCTGACCCACTCTGGATCCAAAGCCACAACTTTCAGAGCTGCTGACCTAGCCAGTCGTTGAACTTCTTGACCTCAGAGGGAAGGCCTAGCTCGGTGAAGTCTCCGGCGTGGATGAAAACGTCCCCATATGGCATCTGGATGGTGTCGGTGCGTGAGTGAGTGTCCGAGATGCAGACAAAGCGGGTGTAGCCCGGCGGCTTGGGCGTGTCATGGGGAATCGGGTCCACCCTGAAAAATGAAAAAGAACAGGAGACAAGAAAGTTGAGGGAGAGAGGAAGGAAAAGGGGCCACTATAGGTTTTAGTGCACTTATAGAATACTTGAGAACGAGATCCAGTGCTATATGCATTGTCTCTATGGTAAGAGGCTGAAAATTAAAGAAATATGAATTAGTATGCAGTAAAAAATCATCTCCACCCACTGAGGTAGAGAAGAAAACAAGAAGCACAGTGAGAAGTGAGAGGCCACAATAAAAGAATAGCACTGAGAGAGACAGCAAGAGAAATATGCAAGAATAGAAAAGGAATAAAGTGCAGATATAGAAAAAGAGCAGAGTCCTGTGGGATTTCCAGCGAGTGTGCAGATCCACAGGGTCTCCAGGGGGATGAGAGGAATAGGTGAATAACCGTGGCCCACTTTAGTGAGTTCTCCTTCAGGTACGATAACACCCAGCTCTGCCGCCTCCTCTTCCTCCTCCACATCCCACCACAAGAGAGAGGAAGAGATGAGGGAAAGCAGATATACATGCATGTAGGACAGCCAGCAAGAAGTCTGAGTCACAAAGTACTAAAATTCAGAAGAGGGTTAATGAAAAATGTTTTGCTTCCCCTATTGAGTAGACAGAAATGCAAGTCCCACAGAAAATTCTCTTTCTTAGCATCAATATAACTGTGTTTAAAAGATAGCTTTATGGTTATATAAATTACGCTTAAAGTTAAACCTAGATTTGAATTTTTGTTTTGGGGGTCAGAAAAAGTCCAAGAGTTTTCAGTTAACCAAATTCCCATAACTATCATAACTTTTTAAATTAAAATCCAGTATGTAAATAATGCCTGAGTCTCAAATAATATGCTCGACAAAGGTGGCTGCTACTGAAGACCAATTAAAACACATTAAGATAATGGCTCTAAACAGAATGCACATTTCCACAGAACAAATTGAACGTTTTTTTCATTCAGTTGATGCAGCTTGACTCTTGTTGCACATGTTTCACAGTAAAAATCCTTCTAATGGCTCAAAGTGTTGCTAGAAGGCTTGAACTATATGAAGCCTTATAATACAGTGAATGGCCTTTACTGTTCATGTTGGCTCTAATTTGACATTCAGTCAATATTTGAAAAACAGATCACAGAACAAGTTTCTGCTAAGAAACAGCTATTTGTAATATCAGTGGAACTACATATGTACATTTATTTATGTACATACATACAGTGGCAGACATTATAGTCATATGAAGTTACTATTTAAACTAAATGGGTTAGTGATAGCCTGGGCAGATACAATATATGCTGCATTTCCAGCAGGTGGTACTTCAGCCCAATAACCTCACTGGTTGATGCGGACCGTCCTGTTTTGTTTTTCCACTGTATTTTCTCTTGTGTTTAGAGGAGGGAGGGGCTGTGCCCCTCTCACACACCAGTCAGCTGAGCAGAGAGAGAACAGAGGATGTGGAGGATCACTCCATGGTGCAACAATCAGCCAATAATGGAGATTGTATGAGTAATTTATCAAACGGCTGTTGAACAAGCAGAACGCAAATTTGCAAAAATGTGACATTTTCACTACATCGACTCACTGAAGTCCCTGTTTTGCCTCTAAACCAACAAGTGAAGCCCTCGTTTAACCTCTAAACCAGTAAAATTGCCTCTTTCCACACTGTGCTTGTAATGCTAATAACATCCATAAAGCTCACCCAACCTTTGGCAAAAAACCTACCACAATCTTTGGATACTTCCATCTGGTTTGCACTATCATTTTGTTAGCTCTTGGAACCTGTGCCATCGATATTACCAACTGTATCCTGACTCACATACACATATGGTCCCATTGTAGCAATATCACTCTTTGGGGACCTATTTACTCTAAAAGCCTTTCAGAGGCTCAAAAGTCATAAATCCTCTTTCCAAGTTAATTTTTACAGTAATGTGAAAGGCATAGAAGAAGTGTTGAGTTTCATAAAGAGCAGCCTCCCTACAGAACCTGTCTGATGTTTAATATAGGCCTGTTTGTTTTAAACGTCATGAATATATTTTTTTCTTGAACGCCACCAGACATGCTCCATATTTAATGGCAACTGAAAAAACAGCAACACTGAAGCTGTATTTTGGTTTATTGTTATTGGTACTATTCCTGTATCAGTCCAGTTTATGTTGGCCTCCTCTCATTCTCAATCCAGCCACTAGAGTTTACTTCCACTTCCTGATTTAGCCCTGCCCACCAGCACACCTGCATCTCATTCCTCAATTACTTTCCCTAAATATACAGGCTGCTTTTTATAAACACCTTGCCAGACTGTAAAGATTTTTCATGTTTAACTATGAACTTACCGTATACTGCATCTTGTTAATGCATCTGTTACCTTTTCTTCCCGGTCAGTTTTGCTTGCCTCTTTTGGCTATCTTACCTCTTTCTAGACTTTTACCTGTGCCTTCTCCTTGTGTCTGGGTTGTATGCCTGCCTGTTACTGACCATAGCCTGCTTAGTGTGATGTCCTTCTGTTTTTCCCTGCTTGGTCTGGTCTGCCTGGACTCTCAGTATTTGCTTGCCAGGACTATCAGTAAACCCGTTCACTCTTTTAATAAATTAACCTTTCACTGCATCTGCCCGTCAGCCTGTGCATCTGCATTTTGGACCTCCTTGCCTGTTGTCTCGTAACACAACTGTGACAATTATGTGGAATTTATTAAAACAGCAAAGAACACAGAGAAGTGGTGAGTTTGCAATCACAGCAAATGGCAGATGGAGCAAATTAAAGCAAGAGCAAGACAAAACATGAAGGGTTCCTTCTAACTTAAGACAAAAAATATTCATAAAACAGCTAAATTAAAAAGCAAGGCCTGCCTCTCTCAGACATCCATGGATTGACATCTTTGTTTCTTGTGCTGGTCATCCAGTTGTTATTTTGTTTATTATGGGATGTCAGAGGTCATGTTAGTTACCAAGCAGCAGATCCAGGGTTTAATACTTGGATGCAAATTAAGGCTTTATAAAATACTTTTACTGTAAGTGACTTTTAAATGATTTCTCCAGAATCTGCTAAATTGTTCTTAAGTACAGTTCTTTAGTAAATGTATTTAGTTACTTTCCACCAATAAACTTATGAATGTCCAGGGGAAAGTACAGTGTATGAGTGGTAATGACTGGGGGCTGGGGATGGATGGGTAGGAGGAGGTTCTACTTTAAAAAGACGTTTTGTACTGTTCAGAGCAGCTTGCTTAAAAAAATATAAGTGGAAGAAACAAATGGGAACTAGTTTGTTTTTTTTTTTACTGTGAACTTAGTTCAAAATTGTGAACTATGAACGTGAACTAGTCCATTTAAATGTGTGTGAACTGAACTAGCTCTTGTGAAGTGTGAACAACACTGCCTGTTTGCCTCTTCATGCTGTGCTGGGTTAACCATGTCCTGTCACTAGCTCTATGCTAAGCACACAGACATAATTGATTTAAATGTTCTCCCTTTCTTTATAAAAGAAAGCAAATAGGCATATTATCTAAAACACTGATCTACTCACTTAAAGGATAATGATCATTTCTTGTTTTAATTTCGCACAATGAAAAATAAATCAAGGGTAAGTATTAAACTAGAATTACCACTTTGTGGTTGTATGCCTCCACCAACCAGTCAAATTCATGGGAATGGGACAGGCGTGAGGTCACTGACCTTGCCCTTTAACCTTTGACCACCAAAATCTAATGAGTTCATCCTTGAGTGGAAGTGGACACTTGTGCCAAATTTGGAGAAATTCACTTAAGGTGCTCCTGAAATATCACATTCACAAGAATGCACCACGCAGACTGATGGAGTGTCTGCCTATTGCCAGCGTGGAAGTTTACAAATCTGAGTATATGATCAAAGCAAATGTAAACACGTGTCACTAAAGCTGTAGAGGACAGTGGTATGCTACTTTAATTAGCCACCCTGCTGCATACTATACGTATCTACTCACATGTGGACATGTGGCGGCTGAAAGCGCCCCTGGTTGATGTTGTAGAAGGTGAAGGCCTGAGTGGGATTGGTGCTGTATTCGTCCACCTCCACCGTCGTCCTGTTGCCTCGCTGGGCATGTGATTGAGCCTGCGACTGCTGCCGCCTTGCTGCCATGATCTCTGATAGGGTGAAGGCCATGGCACTGGGTACCGGAGCAGAGAGGGACGGGGAGGGCGAGATGTCAAGTTTGGAAGCTTAGATGATTGTTGTTTTTACTTTGGGACAGTGGGTGGACTGAGGACAGGCTACTGCGAGGTGTCCTGACAGGCTCAAACCCTCACTGAGCTCACGGTCACAGTGAGCTGTGAAGAGAACATCACCTCCTCCCTCCTCCTCTTCTTCTTTACAGCTCTTCTGCACCTGAGAGACAGAACACAGCACAGCTGGCAATTCAGATTGATGCTGAAATAATCAATCAATAATCAGTTAAAACTGATTTGAAAAAATGTCAAGCATTCTCTCATTCCAGATGCAGATCAACTGAGACATTTAAAGATGCCTTCTTGATGTCAGGCAATTTGTGATGGGCATTTTCTGATATTTTATGGGCTAAACAATAATAATAGTAATTGAAAAAAATACCAGCAAAACCACAACTATAATTTTTTAATTCCCTGCCAACGTCAAAATCTGGTGCCTGCATTACCCACAGTGCAACTCCACCTCTGACAGTTTGCTCAGAGATTGAGTTGTGACATTGATCTGGTCAGGTCTCTTCTCTGTAACTCCCAGCACCCGGTTTTTTTTTTTTACTTTTCAAACTTTTTCTGAAAATAATCTTTTAATCATGTAAAATTCAACACTCAGGGTTCACTTCCTAGCTTTTTAGAGGAGCGATATACCATAGTTGTCAGCAAATGGACCCTGCACAGATGGCATCCTGTGACAGTAAACTCAGCATGCTGCCGGATACTGAGCTCCGATCCAATAGCAATGTTCTTTTTTTCTGTTTAAAGTCACCAAATTGATTTTTTTTTTGTGTCTGTTTAAGGTCACATAAGGATGCAGCAACACATCACCACTTAACTATAAGTGGAACCTATGACTTCCTATTTATAAAGTAACATTAGCTCACTGCAGCAAACGCAAAGAGCAGTACTGTGAAGAATGGGAGTTCTTGCTATTTACTATTTACCAATTACTGCTGATCAGTTTTATCAAAACTGATACTTGATCCTGGCACTTACAAATATAACAGGCTGACCCAAGTGGGTACAGTAGATATCACAGAATAAAAAAACCAAATTGAAATTATAAAAATAAAGATAACAATTTTCAAAAATACTGTGGATTAATATGTGTAAGAAAACAATGAAAGAAAGGCAATGTTGTGAAAAAAATAAAAAAGTAATAAGGTTGCACTTGTTTAAAAGGTGACATACTATAGGCCTCATACAATAAAATGAGAAAGAATCACCACTAAAATAGAAAACGATCTACCACAACAACTACAACAAAAACCATAGAAAACATGTGAAAGAACTGGTCAAAGACATGTAAAACCTTGATTTTAGAATGATATGAAACATTTGTTCAACAGACAAGACTGTGGTTTTTGAAAGTGCACTGGTGAGCGCCCCATCCCCTCCAGCTACTATAGCACATCTGTTGACTCAGACTGAATCCTATGTTTAAATCTAACAGAGCCACACAGGTACACTGAGCACGACAGAGAAAACCAGGTGCTAGGCAGAATGTTAGGCTGCAAATTTTAGTGCCAGAGCTCGAATGATTTATTATTTACAATATGTCCCTAAATTTATGTTCTTTTACATATTTCTTTTTTCTTGTATATGCTTTTATGTACTGTATATTCTTTCCATTTGAGATTTTGCTCAAGCGATCTAAAATAATTAACTGAGCTGATAAAATCATTTCCGTGCCCATCCCTGTTGTGTGAGGTCTGCATATGTGTGTAAGACTCAGTTTCAACTCTGCAGCTTATTTTTCAAAGGCTGTGGCAACTGCTGGGAGAGAGCGGAGCCTCTGAGAGGTGATGAAATGACGGGGATGCTGGGAGACGAAGGTGATAATTTGGGGACAGGCGGCTTTGGCAAAAGTCCGCCTGGACCGCCGTGTGATGTCAGTGCGCCATCTCGATTCCTCATTCACTCCAACCTCACAGGCTGACAACACACTGACGTGACAGATAGACACTTCACACCATGGCTGTTTGTCACGGGCAAATCCCAGCATGCTTGGTGGATGTGTATGAGGAGCGCATACAGTAACGTGTGTGTTCTGTGTGTGCACAGGCTGATGTGTATGCAAGCACGTGCGTGCATATTTAAATGTGTTTCTGTTGTCATGAATGTGACAGTGACAGCCCCTCACACTGCCAGTGTGAGACAGAGAATGATTTTTTTTTAAAGAGTGTAACACACTGCGCTTAGATGTAGTTTTAGGTTACACTACAGACACCGCAACAGTATTTTTTACTAATTTAATTTTGGGTAAATAAAATGTTTTTTCTTTCAACAAAATATGCAAAACTGTTAATACCATGTCTACAAGAGGAAGTGTTCAACTACAGTACGACTACGGGCTCAGACGTGTTTTTGGCATCAGTGATGCAACGGTCTGAAGCTGGTGGGTGCATCTTGCTGCAGGTGGGACATGAAATGTAATCCAGCAAGTCCAGTTTGAGTGAAGAGATCCATGAACTGGAAGGTTTCTCCGGCCCTAAAACACCACACAACAGTTTATAATACTATAAGGCAGGATTGTACAGCTCTGGAAAGTTATCACGATGAAAAATATTTTATCTGTCATCTCAACAGTCATGTGGTAAACAGCAGAAATACAGTGGCTGCTCAGTAAAGTGGACCACCATGAATGTGCGCTGCAAGTACAGCATCTGTTATGCCACTGGATAATTATTCCACTGATGTTGCATTGTGTTGCACTGCATTCGCCTTCTGCATTAGCTGATCTGTGCAGTCATGTGCATAAGACTGAAAAACATGTAAAACCTCTTTTGTGTACATGGGCAGAGCCAGGAATCTGATTGGCCACCCCTGCCAGAGTCGAAATAATGTGAAAGTTAGCTAAAGAAAGCACTATGTGTTTATCATTTTTACACAAAATAAACTATTTGATTCCTAAAAATGTTTGGTTTATTATTTCATAAAACTAGGGATTTAATGAATCTTTTACATGTATTTCAAATGTGCCACCCCTTTCTGAGTCTGGGCTCAGCCTGGCCACCCTCTCCAAAATCTTCTAGATCTGCCCCTGCTTGTGTAGCAGCGTATCTGAATAATAATAATAACAGCAACTTGGGCTCTGTAAAATCAAGTTGTGGGGGTGACAATGTTTGCAACTTTCTGAAACAAACAATCTGAAATTCATACCCACACTACACAGCAACTAGCCAGGTGTGCTGATACAGTACGTGGGAGCATGCAGAGCTTTCTCATATGAGCCTCTTTTTTTTTGCACAGCCCTTTTCAGACTACTTCTGTAACTTTTTGTGTGCATGAGAGTGTACACCTTGAAGGAGAGATTGTCCAGAAGTGTGCACAGTGACACCTACTTTTATGGTTCATCGTTTCAAGACTACACAAAAGCTTTTAGGTCTTGTCTAACACAGGGGGTGTTTAAGGCACATTTTTGTGTCTGACATCACAGATACACTTTCATTTGATCCTCAGTTCCGCTGTCTACACAGGCTGCATACAGTAAATGCACACACTGTACACGCACAGCCCAAAGCATATTTATAGTCTTTAGGTCTATTTTCTTGTTTTACACATGACTACAGTCAGTGGAAGAAGTACTCAGACTCAGAAAAAGTAATACAACCCTGTAGAAGTACAATTTGTGATGCTGTTGTTTTGGCAGTTGTCTCAGCCAAGGCCCCATTAAAAAAGACACTGCTAATCTCAATAGGATTTCACCTGGTTACATTTTTTTTTTATTTAAAGGGTCCTGCATTCAATATTTTACTTTAATATAGGTTTAGAATATTTGCATCAAATAAACTTTATACCTGAACACATCCTGTGGAGACTGAGGACTGAAGTTGCTGCTGCTAACGTGCTAGTGTAGACAAGGTGTATGAAAGAGATTGGGGAGGAAGTGCGATGCAGTCAAGAGGATTTAGCTGGACCATATGCCACACAACCAGTTTCATTTGAATAATACTGAACCCTTAAGTCAAACAATTAATTAGCAATTTTGTTCATCAGATATTCTTGCACATTTAATTGTGTTGTGTTTATCTCTTGTGAATCACACAAAGATTCTGCTGTACTACTGTAATAGTATGAGGATTATCCTCAGCATGCCTTATGAAATACAGTACTGTTTTAGGTCATATGTGAGTGAAAAGGCTTAGTTCTCGGGGGTAATGGCAGATTAGCTAGCTAACATTGTTGATTATTTAAGGTAAGTAAAGAAAGTTTGCATTCTCAACATGTAGCTACACTTTTTTAGGACATATTTCAGTGTGGCATTGTTAATTTTATTTAACAAAAACAATAACTTAATTGCTAGCTACAGCAAAGGACAACAAGCTAACACTGATCATTTGTAGGCTAGGTAACCTGCTAAAGGCGCTTTAAATATAGAAATTCTGAGCCTTTTAGTAATTTCCAAATGTATTAACGTCATACTGATGTCATGACCTGAGTTGAGAGTGGTTATTCATACCTCACACTGCAGTTACACACTGGCAGTTGTGTATGTGCCATACATATGTCATTTATGTCTGTGAACTGTGCTGCCAGCTGGAAAGAACCAAACAGCTTGAACAGTGTGTACCAGCCTGAATTAGATCAGAATATAAATATACAGAAAAGTACCTTTGGCTTCTAAACTTTATTACTAATGCTAATTAAAAAATGTACTGCGAAAATAGAATTTATCATTCACTACAGCCATCCAACTGGAAACATTTGAGGACAATGTGCACAATGCCTATGAAAGTAAGAACCACTGGTCAGAAGAAACATACTAGGGTCACTTATAGCCACATATAATACTTAATGCTTAAAAAAGCATTCAAGAGGAAACTGTGAATCAAGATTTATAGTCTCAAGTAAAGCAGCAAACTCATCTGTCCCATTTCATGATTTTAGAATTAAATGATTTTTTTTGTCCCATGATTAAATACATAACTGGGCTCAACAGAAAGTCTGGAGCAAATTGAACACATCAGTTGTAAAGAGAACTCATCAGTAAAAAAATAAATTGTTTAAATTAAAGCAACAGATCAAAGTGACATAATTCATTTTTCATGTTAGGAATTTCACTTGTCTCTATTCAGACTCAGCACTAACACATATAGAGGAGAAAGGCTACCTCACAGCAACCTGCCCAGGGTGTACCCCGCCTCTCGCCCAATGTCAGCTGGGATCGGTCCAGCCCCCCCGCGACCCTATTCAAGAATAAGCGCTATAGATAATGGATGGATAGCTACCTCATAGGCATTATTTTTAAACAAGCAAAATCTTAGTACTCTTATGTCACAATTTTTTGTTCAGCTTTCAATTTGAAACTGAATAATCGGTCAACACATTACACAGACTTTATGGTGATTTTGCATGATGTACAGTATACATGGAGCAGAAACCTACAGTAGTGTTTCAGAGGGATTTTTTTTTGGAGCTGCACTACTGACATAACTGAGTCCATCTCTGCAAGCAATTAAACATGTTAATGATCCATCTTAGGGGCCCCTGAATCCAATTGGCCCCTAACCTGCTCAGTAATCCATCCATTGAGGAGAGCCTGCCCTTGGCAGCACCAGCATCTCTGTACCTCTGTAGGGTGGCAGACGCAGAGGATAGGCTGCCTAATTGAAGCTCTCTCCTCTTGGGCACATTCTCATATTTATAAAGCAGCCTTCGCATTACACTGTCTTTTCTGCTTATCCACTCATTTTCTGCTACATACTGTATGGACAGAAGATTAAAGTACATTTGAGTGTGGCACTGAATTACAGTGGGCTGTATCTGTTTCATACATAGCCTGGAGAGCTTAATGTTGTGTGTTGGTCAGATTTGGAGCCATATCTCTGTGAAATATGGTGAATACAGAATGTAAACTCTATATTGATAATACAAATTTTCATAACATTAGAATTCACATTTCACCCTGTGTTGCATTTACTTTGACAAGTACCCTTTAAATCCTGATTAATTCAACTTTAGCCTAGTTCACTCCAGCAGACTTGTGCAAACTTGACTTAAATGAACTACTTTCAATTGAATTATCAAAGGGCTCCTTTAAATGATCCGCTTTCCTGCACATTCTGCAGTTTCCCTCCACTCACAAGCACTTATTCTACAGTCTGCGCTGTGTGTAACTGAACTCTAATCAAACTTTTTAGCCATTTGGTCCCAAAAGCTGCGCCAGCTGTCTCCCTCTGAGCCATGCAGGGTGTTTGGAAGCTCCAGTAAGCTTCTCCAGTTTGTGCGGTGCTCGAAGACCTTTGAATGTGGCGTTACTGAAATCTGATATAACATAAAAGCTTTCCGGTGAGTCCAGCTGGAAAGCGTTGTTGCCTATCCGGAGACGTGAATGCATGGCTTTATTAAAAAACCCAGACTACCGCAGAATCCCGCCTTACATGTGAGAGAAAACACGTTTAGATGACAGGAGAGATTTATTCCAGAATGCTCAGTGTTGTGCGGCTTCAGTGGAAACCTCTGCTCCGGTTTTGCATGCATGAGAATACACGTCTGCAAAAGTGCACGTAGGAGATGATGAGGATTCAACCTACCGGCTCCCGTGGTCAGCTGCAGTGAGGTTGCCGGGCGATGGATGAGGCGAGCGGAGGCTGTCTGCGCCGTGACAGAGACGCGCTGGTCAGTTTGAATTGGTACCCCGTGGTGCACCGGTGGAGCGTCGAGCAGCTCGCTCTCTATCTCTCTCACTCTCGCTCTGTCTCTGATCAGTCCTGCCCACCGTGTTTCCTGGTGAGGGTACAATGAAGAAGAGCAGAGGGGGAGGGAAGGACGGACGGATCTAAGGAGCTGAAGCGCAGCCCTACACAGCTCACTGTGTTATGCCGAAGTAGCTTCCCCCTGACCTTGACCTGAAGCTAACCTTGTCCTAACCCTAACCACCGATGGGGGTGGATGGGTGGATGGGTGGGGGCTACGGGAACCACACAACCCTCTGCGGTGGGTACAGACTTCTACACAAGACTTACGCAGCGACAGAAATTCCAGTAAGATCCCACTGGGCCCCCCAGGGCCGTGTCCAGGATTTAAAACACCTCGGTCATGAGTCCATTAGTCCCCAAATTAACCCCACCCCACCCTTAGGAACCTTGGCTTTGGGCTGTTCTAATGATCAAATACTGTATATCTTCTGTTAATTCTGCCTTTCAACATGATGATTAAAAGACTGACTCAAAGCCTTCTTTACACTGGTCTATCAATAATAATAATAATAATAATAAGTTTACATATTTATTTGTGGAAGATATATTCAGATATTTTACTTGGTTAAAAGTAAAACCATTTTCGCTGAAGCACAGGTGTATTAGCAGGAAAAATTTTAGAAGTATCAAAAGTACTCATTAGGCAGCAGAACAACCTTTTACCAGTGTGACTATGTTTTACTGGGTTAAGAAAAGCATTTAAGCATGTTTGTATTGTTGGTTTGTTCATATTTATTACAGTACTTGATTTTATAATTAAACAGTGTTACTGTTAGATAAATGTAGTGGAGAAAAAGTAGAAAGTAGCATAAAATGGAGTTACTCAAGTAAAGTACCTCGCTAGTGTGCTTCAGGACAGTTTGTATCAAACTCCTAATGTGTTTAAATCCTGCATGTTCACAGCAGCAGCAGGAGGATGGAGCCTTGTTGAGCTCCCCGGTAGCTACTCTGTCTCTGTGTAAAAACGTGAGTAGTGAACATACTTGGCCAATAAAAGACTTCCAGGTTCTGAATGTTGGTTTAGTTCATGATCAATTAATATGAGGATTTTTAAAATTAATCTATTAATCATTTGTCTTATTAAATGTCCAAAAACTATAAGAAGTAAACATTATAAATGCCTACATTTACATTACTCAAACAACTTGACTGGGCAGCCTAGCAAACAGACCCAGGGTTTCTGTTTACTGCAATAGAAGACTAAAAAACTGGTAAATATAATTTGTAAGAAGCCACAATCTGAGAAATTTTAAAATCATTGCTTAAAAATGACTGCTGCAATTAAAAGTTTATCTAAATTGTTACAAATTGATGCTAATCATTGCTATTAATTTATACACAAAGATAAGTAAATTTTGTGTATTTTCTAAATATATGTTTATTTTTTCAAGAATTTGTAGAGTCAAGTGTCTGTTTCTTGATGAAGATGTTAGTCTGATACCAATTTCTCTCAATCCACAGCAGAGAGAAGCTATATATGAAACTGAGGGCAAGTGGAATGATCTCATGCCAGTGGAAATAATATGTTTCATTTGAAAACAGCTACCTACAAAAGCATATGGATCTAGCTGAGATCCACCTGACACTGCTCCATTAGTATCATATGAAACACAGCAGCATAAATATTACAAAGGAAACCTTTGTCCCTGATGTATTATGTAGGATGGATAATAATAATAATAATGAGGAGCAGTCACTTCAAACAGAGGCTGTAGCTTAGTGGCCTCTGGACCCTTCGGGCCCTTGGGCTAGTACTGAGTAGGGCTATTCAGTAATCCATCAGAATGTGTCACTGTACTTGATCATTTGCAGTTGTGTTCTTTTGTAATTCTGCCCTATTTTCTATCCATCTATCCACCTCTGAGACACATTTATTCTGTTGATAAGAATATCTATTTGTGATAGCTATCATTCACTGGTCAGGATTTCACATCTCTTTGGTTTGCAAACTAAACAGATCAATAAACAGCATTGCAAGATCTTGATAAGCTCTGGCCTGTTAAATCTTTGTATTTCTGCTCAGGAAAAAAAAGCTCCCCATCATTTCTTGGCCATGTAAGGGATAATCAGTCAAATTACAGCATTACAACATAGCACCACCTCTGCTCCTGTTTATCCGCAGGTAATTGGACTGGGATTTAGGTTGGTAATGAGCTAAACAAATAGACCACAATCTGGAGCTCAAACACATGCATCCATAAGCACCATGCGCACATCTCCAGTGGAAGCTTCCAGAGTCACAGACTGGGGTGAGTGTGCCATCTGCTGGACAGATATACTCAATTTATCAATGGGTTCTGAACACCCATCATTCAGTACTCCATCTGTAACTACAGGGTTTGATAACATACAAAGATGAATACAGAAAAAAGAGAAAGCTGATGAATTTGAAGACCTACCAAACCTGCCACATGAATTAATTATTTTTATTGTCATAAAATTAATCTCCAGCAAGTAAAGTCAAGAACATTATCCTCAAAAGTGATCTCTAAATAATATCTCCATTGATTTCTTGCAGTTTGAGAAACAGACTGGTTCATTCTGACAAAAGAAACCACCTAAAATGTGGTTGTTAAATCAGATTATAAATTGAAAAAACTTAGAAAAATCAACTGGAATAGATTTTTAGGTCGAAGACGTTTCACCTCTCATCCAAGAGGCTAGATCAGTTCTGCCCGACTGGCGTTGAGCCGGAGATATTTATCCCCATCAGTGTTGTTTCAGTCCTTTGATGCCCAACAATGTCCTCTAGCGACTGAGTCATTATAGCATCTTTGAATCCTCCCCTGTCGACCGATGCCTATTGTCCTGTTGGGCATGTTTGGGCAGAGATCTCAAAACAGATTTGTAGATGGATGACAAGTTGTGTCTTAGTCCACCACCCCTATTTAGTGAGGGGTGTTCTATTTGAACAAAAATTGCTTCCTTGACTCCTCTCTCAAACCAGCGATGTTCTCTGGAGAGGATCTGGACTTCACTGTCCTTGAAAGAATGCACTTTGTCCTTCAGGTGGAGGTGGACTGCTGACTCTGGTCCACTGGAGTTGGCCCTCCTGTGTTGGGCCATGTGTTTGTGAAGCTTCTGCTTAGTTTCATCAATGTACAAGTCGTTACACTCCTGACTACACTTAATTGCATACACCACATCACTCTGTTTGTGTCTGGGTGTTTTGTCCTTTGGGTGGACCAGTCTCTGCCGCAGGGTGTTCCCTGGTTTAAAGTTGACTGAGATATTGTGGTTGTAAAAGATCCTTTTTAACTTCCAGCCACATAAGGGATGACATTGTCATCCTCTCTTGTTTCTGGTTTCTCCCTGTTGGTCTTGGGCCTCTTCCTTGCTTTGGTGAAGACCCACTTGGGGTATCCAAAAGCCTTAAGGGAGTTCTGGATGTGTGGTTTCTCCTTCTTGGCCCCTTCTGCAGTTGTGGGCACTTCCGCTGCCCTGTGATTTAAAGTTCTGATGACTCCCAGTTTGTGTTGAAGTGGATGGTGTGAGTCAAAAAGCAGGTATTGGTCCGTGTGTGTAGGTTTCCGATATACTTCTACCTTCAGGCTTCTGTCCCCTCCCAAGTGGACTGCACAATCCAGAAAGGCCAGACAGTCATATCTGGCATCCTCACGAGTGAACTTGATGTTGATATCCACAGAGTTGATATGCTTGGTGAAAGCCTCTACCTCACATGGATTTTAACCCATGTGTCATCCACGTAGCAGAACCAGTGGCTGGGAGTGGTGCCAGGGAAGGAAGACAGGGCTTTGTCCTCAAATTCTTCCATGTACAGGTTGGCAACTATATGAGACACCAGGGAGCCCATAGAACAGCTGTGTTGCTGCCTATAGAAGTGCTCCCTAAACTCGAAGTAGATAGTGTTTAAACAGAGTTCCAGCAGAGTCCATACATGGTCTGGGGTGAGGTTAGTCCTGATGATCAGCGTGTCATCATTCAGGAGTCTCTTCTTCACTGCCTTGGCATCCTCTGTGGTGGGCATGCAAGTGAACAAGGATGTGACATCATATGAAACCAAGGTCTCGTCCTGGTCTGGCTGCAGTTGTTTGACTTTCCTCGTGAAGTCCTGGGAGTTAAATATGTGGTTTTCTAAGTTTCCCACCAAAGGAGCCAGAATGGTGGCCACGTGCTTGGCTATGTTATAAGTCACAGAGTTGATGCTGCTGACAATGGGCCTGAGTGGGGTTCCTTCCTTGTGTATTTACAGTAGGCCATACAGGCAAGGGATGGCATCCCCGGGGTATAGTCTGTAGTATAGTCGCCGGTCAATAACTCCCTCCTTTTCCAGCTTCTGTAAAGAGTCTATAACTTTCTTCCTGTAGCCACTGGTGGGGTCCCTCTTCAATGCCTCATAGGTGGTGGTGTCACTGAGGAGGTCGGGTCTGATAGTCAGCTGAGTTTAGGACTACTGTACACCTGCCTTTGTCTGCTGGAAGGATTGTGATGGTTTCATCTTTCTCTAGTGCAGCTAAAGACCTCCTTTCCTCAGGGGTAAGGTTCGAGGGTGGGAGTCTGGCGCTGGCCAAAGCAGCTGTGACCTTCATCCGCAGTTCTTCCGCCTTCATCTCAGCCAGCTTGTTGTTCCTAATGGCCAAATCTGTGGCTGTGATGAAGTCTACCACAGGGATTTCTTTGGGTGTGACCGCAAAGTTCAATTCCTTGGCTAATACCTGTTTTTCTGTGTCTGTGAGTTCTCTGTCTGAGAGATTTTTGACCCATTTGTCACAGTGCAATGGTTGTGGGTTGTGCTCCTCCTTTCTCTTTGGATAAATATCCCTGACTCAACACCAGTCAGGCAGAACCAATGAAGCCTCTCGGATGAGAGGTGAAAAGTTTTTTCAGCTTACTATGACCTGAATGACTGAGAATCTGCATGGACAGACTATAAGTCGTTTCAGCATGGCCACTGTTGACAACATTGCAACTATTCAGACAAAAAATACACATATACAAACATGTAAAAAATACACCATAACATATTTGTTAAAACAAACAAACAAACAAAAAAACGACCAACAACAACAACAAAACTGCTGGTTGCAAATTCTGTCCATATGCTGAAATGACCCTCTGGGCATGTGTGTCAGCTAGAAAAGCAAATGGATCTTTAA